AATATAGCTGTGCTAGATGACATTGCCTTTGCTTCCAGTGAAACAGTCAGGAATTTGGGAGTCATCTTTGATCCCAATTTGTCCTTTGATTCTCAATTAAAACAAATTTCTAGGACCGCTTTCTTTCACTTTTAAAATATCTCAAAATCAGACATGTCCTTTCTCAAAAAGATGTGTCCTGACAAGAACCAGGAAAAGAGACCACATATCTCCYGTATTAGCTTCACTACATTGGCTTCCTGTTAAATCTAGAATAGAATTCAAAAATTCTCCTCCTTATATGGTAAATGGTTTGTATTTATATATTGTTTTTCTAGTCTTGATGACAGATCAAAGTGCTTTACAGTTCAGTTTGCCATTCAACCATTCACACACACATTCATACATTACATCTATTAGTAGCATTTTTTTTATAAGAGGGGCAATTTGGGGTTCGGTTTGCAGATGGGGAAGACTGGGTTTGAACTGCTGACATTTGGTTGGACAACCTTTCTACCCTTCAGCTACAGCCGCCCTCTGGCACCATCATACCTTAAAGAGCTCATAGTACCATATCACCCCACTAGAACACTGTGCTCCCAGAATTCAGCCTTGTTGTCCCTAAAGTCAGGGCTTTCAGCTATCAAGCATCTCTCCTGTGGAATCATCTCAGTTTGGGAGGCAGACACTCTCTCTACGTTTAAGAGTAGTAAAGCTTATAGTTAGAGCTGCTTCAGGCTTGTCTTGGACCTGCTCTTAGTTCTGCTGCTATAGGTCTAGAATGCCGGGGGACACATGTCACATGGAGCTTCTCTTTCCTCTTCTGCCTCTTTATCACATTAATGTCTCATCATTGCATGTTGCTGACTTGACTTCTTCCCCCGAGTCCTTGTGCTTTATCGTTTGCAGATCCAGGATGGCAGCTGCAGCCAAATTGTGGATTATGATGGTGGATCATGAATCAGAGATCGTGATCGTAATGGTAGCTCTTGTATAGTGTTGGCAGCTAATCACGGTTAGTGGTGGTGGACCATGATCGAGGTGGCAGCTGATTTTGCTGAGATTCTCCGTCATAGGTGGCATCTATTGCACATCTGTCCCCCTGTTAATATGTTCTTTTTTGTAGTTTTTCTTTACTCTTGAGGATTAAGAACAGAGGATGTTACACATTGTTAAGCCCTTTGAAAATTGTGATTTGTGAATATCGGCTATACAAATAAAATTTGATTGATTGATTGATTGATTGAATAATAATAAAGTACATGTACTAGTAGCTATCTAGTGTCCCCTCCACAAATATTGATATGGGTTAAAATTACTATCAGTACTCAATACTATTAGAATTCAGTTATTAGTGTAATTACACTGAATTTCATTCAGTGCATATGGGTTATGTGCATATAAATATGATTATAATCCCCCACACTGCTGTTGTAAATAGTGCACATATATTAAATATTCATATATTTTATTCATACTTACAAACTGAGGGAAGTCGAGGGACTTGACATGCACTGCTATCATCAACACCGGTTAAACTAAGCATTTATCACACTCATTTATTTATTAAGTCACAGTATGGGTTGTGGTGATGTCCCATGTGGTGCCCAGAGAGCTGCAGAGACTTTGGTTTGCTGATCATTCATGTCTGTTGGTTTGGCCAGTGTTATGCCAGTTCACACCTAAAAAGAATCAAATTAAAGTTCAGTTTGCAGGGATAAAAATGAAATAGTTGACGTTCATAGTTCATTTAAATTATTTTTTCAAGATCAAGAATTGAGTTTATTTTTTTTAGGATTTTGATGACAAACTTAAGATTATGTATTTAGTTATTAATCGATGGTGTTGGATCATGAATCTGGATCCTTCAATCACTTTAACACTGAGTCCTGATCAGATTATAATATCTTGTAACTAAGTGTTTAATGAAGCATTGTGCTAGTTCATGCAGGACACAGAGTTATGTGCTCAGCTGTCACAAGCTGTCAGCTACTCGTCAGTCACTTTTTACTCTACTTACCATCTCCATGCTCATTATGTCTCATCACCGCCTAGCAGCCAAAAATCCTCTAAAAAAATGGCCAGTAAGTTACTCAAAGTTCTCTATAGCTGAAATAGCTCATTACCTCTCGGGGCCAGTCACCAAGAACTTTTACAGCTGCTTGTCACACACTTTCAAGAAGGGGATCAGGCTTCTTTCCCCGTCACTTCTTCCTCTGTAGTACACCGAAGAATAAGTCCATAACTGCAGTCCGGTACATCTGCTCCGACTAGCACTAGCATCCCCACTAAGCGAGCTTGACTCCAACGGCAGGAGGAAGACCTGCTCCTCGCTGTGCTGATCAACATCCAGTCCTCCCTCAGCAAGATGGATGCCTGCCTCCATGTCCTGGAGAACCAAGACAACTCTCTACAAACTTCTGAAGCCCTTTGTCGCTCAATATTAATAGCAACTTGCCATTTGTTTTCACCTATTTGATGATTTCCTAGTAGCCAGTTATAGTCAGTCCCAGCCAAATAGATGCATTAACGCGACCAAAGATGTTTTTAAGCCGTCCAGTGTCCCGCTGTTCCTCAGAACTTTGATTTTTTTTCCGATTGACCCCTGGCATGATCCAACCATATCCGATATCACCTTCGACACTTGCATGTTCTTAATCCACATTAAGCACTCAGAATCTGGTGGAGAAATGCTAGATTGTTGTTATGTCACAAACTAACAATGGTTTCTGTCCTCTATCTTCTATAGCCTGATATCTCCAATGGCATCCTCGAGCGAAGCAAGATGAACCCCTGTTCCTCACTGACAAAGGAAGGCCATGATCAAGATCTTGGTTCACGTCCCGCATTTGCCTACTCTGCAAATGATGCAGACTCCTGTCCCAGCGATACACCTTGCACTCCTTTCCCAGTGCTGCTACCATGGCTGCTGCCCTGGTCCCTGAATCCACCGTGAAAGCCACAGGTTGCTGGTCTTCAGCTGCCTTCAAGCATTAAGTTCGCCCCAGCTTAGAAGAGATCATCTCAGCTCAAAAGACCATGAGTGCTTATGCCTGAACAGCAAACTTTCTGTCATATAATGCTGCATTCGGATGGTACTGTCTGGGTTCATTGATCTGCTTTGTAAATAATTTGAAGTCTGCAGCATGCTTGCTGCCACACAGATATTTCACTTGATAGTAGTATGACCCATTCGAAGAACACATGCCTGCATTCTTTTGATTATACATTTTAGAGGTCAGTAGCATGATTGCTGCTACACAAAGATATTTCACATAATTTTAGATGTCTGCAGGTGCTTGATGCTACAGATACATATTTCACATAACTGTAGTATGACATCTCGCACAACGTATTCTTTAGTTACAATTTTAGAGGTCTGCAGCATGCTTGCCACCATACTTAGATGTTTCAAATAACCTCAGTGTGTCCTCTCGCAGAATGCATGCCCACATTCTTTAGTCAATCCTTTTAGAGGTCGGCAGCATGCTGGCTGCTATACATAGATATCTCACACAACAGTAGTATGTCCTCTTGCAGAATGCATGCCAACATTCTTTAGTCTATCATTTTATAGGTCAGCTGCATGCTTACTGCCACACAGATATTTCACATAACAGTATTATGACCTCTTGCAGAATGCAGGTTTGCATTCTTCAGCCAATCATTTTAGAGGTCTGCAGCATGCTTGCTGCTACACTTAGTCATATCACATAATAGTAGTATGACCTCTCGCAGGATGCATGCTTGCATTCTTAAGTCAACAATTTCAGGTCTGCTGCATGCTTTCTCTTACATTACTTATTTATTAGAAAGTATTTTTTCTAGCTTGGCATTAGGATTCCATTGTTTTGGGGATTCTGCATGTGTTCCTTGTTTTGTCTTAGCGTTGCGTGACCAATACAGGGAACATCCAAATAAATGGAGCCATGTAGTGGCATCTCGCAAAAAAATATGAAATACGAGTTGATGCAAAACACTGGGTTTGGCGGTGGTTGATGGGGGGGCCCCTCTTTTCCTATTCCCTGGGAGGAAGAGCAGAGATGGCCTCAATATCCACCGCGGTGGCAATGACATGGGGGAGGTCAGTAGCTTCAGGCTGGTCAACAAGAGGATGACCTGCCCCAGCTTCACCTGCACAACACGTCTGTGTGTTTTCTTCTCCCACTTGGGGCCTCATTTATAACCATTGCTAATGCATCTTTCAGAACCCATTTTGTGCATACGCCACTTCTCAAACAAATGTTGGGATGTCAACGTCAATTATATTTATGGAGCACACTTAACACAACTAGGTTGAAAAGTTTAAAGTGCTTCACAAAGTTAAAGGTACAACTAGAAAACAGCTTTACAAATTAATTTTGATTGATTGACTGACTGTCATTGATAATGATGAGTTCACTCTAAGCCACAGAAACTCTCAGAGGTTACAACATCCCATATAAATAATTCTTTCGAGTGGGCTTCAAAACTATTCGGTGGGCATGTCTATTTTTTCAGTAAATTTTGTGCACAAAGACAAACAAACAATAACATCAGCTTTTCATCTTTTACTTTCTGTTGATCTCTGGTACATTTAAGAATTTGATAAACTTGAGATATCAACAGAGTGTTAGGTTTTTCTTCTTCTTTCTTCCATTGGTCAGCACAGCGGTGCCCTTCAGACTCATCAGCCCTGAATAAAATGACAGAAAACAAGTACATAATCGCAGAGTAAATGGCTGTTAGTTATAAAAGAAGTGAGTGTACATATATTCTATACTCAACTATATGTATTTTGATATAGTTTTAGATTTAACAGTGTACAAAGACAATGAATATGTTGTATGCAGTTGATCCACATTAAAATTACTGTTGAATATTCATTTTCAAAGCTTACTGACAACATACAATCATTGTGTCTGTTTCACTTGGAGGAATGTTTCACACAGTATGTGGAGGAAAAGTGTAGCAGTTCTCTCTCTGATAAATATGATAAAACAGTAATTTAGCCTTTTGTATCAGGAGAACATTAAACTTCACTGTCAGTAAATTCACCTTAATGGTGACAGCACAGAGCAAGCTGTGCCCTAATCAGCTCTTAGGTAATGTAATATGAAATGTAATGTAATGTAGGATGTATTATGCTCAATATTTCATTAGTTTATACCAATGCTTTGCTTTGGTTCTTTATAATTTATATAAACACTATACCTGGAATCAGTGCTAAAGTGATGACTCTGTGTTCAATCCAGTTCTGTCCCCTAATGTTGTCTGCTTCAAAAAAAAACTTTGACATATAGATATGTAAAATCATGCATGTGTTAAATTACCTCATTATGTGAGACGCTCTGTAGTTTCTGCAGACTTTCTCCGCCTGGCCTCCTTGTATAAAGTCTGTAGAAGTGAGTGATGGGGCTGATGACGCTTCTGTGCGTCTTCTATGCGTGAGACGCAAAAATTAAAAATACAAAAAGAAAACAAATATCTCCAGGTTAAAAAGCGGTGTCATATCACGTAGAAGACACTGGCAAAGATGTCGAGAGAGTTTGTGGTGATAAGAGCTGACACTGCTCTTAACATGATCACGTGACTCACTTCACACAGTCTGCTGCACCCGGCAATGAATAACGCCGAGGATTTGATGTTGTTGTGAATGCATCTATGCAGAAAATCTCCCGCTGTGTTGTGCTCGTGTGAAAGGCAGACTACGGGTAAACTCTGTAGCCAATTCTCTCAGTTTACCTGGAGGTCATGTCTGAAAACAGCCAAGGTGTGAGAAGTCAAAGTTCTGCAGAGGATTTAATTTGTGTGTTCCTTATTCTCCTGTGAGTGTCTGCTACATTTTAGCCATATACTGTTTTATCTAACATAGCTGGAGTCAATGTACTTTGTCAACAGTCTTAGTAGAATATATTTCATTTGGCATTGCTGTTATCTAAGTAGGTCTCTTTAACACTGTAGAATTTATTGTTGAGACATTAATTCAGAAAAAAACAATTGGATTACAAGTTGAGTTGAATAAATCAAAGCACAATTAGAGGGAATGCTGGTCCTGCTGCGGCATAGCATGCAGGGGCCAAAGTTTTATGTGTTGAAGATGCTGTCAATTACTTAATTATACATTTTAAATCATAATTGTTCCAGATCTGGTATAATGAGAATAATCAAATAATGCCCTTTAAGAGAGGTTGTTTTTTGTACCTGATGACACTGTGAGAGGAGAAGACTGTTAGTTGGACAAATCACTGTTGGACGTGAAACAGACTTGCAAAGGATACCTGGTGGAGGTGAGTGTGAATGTCTTCTAAACCGAGAGAACTGGTCTACTTCACCTGTGCATCCCATTTTACAGATCCACATGACTGAATTTATGGAAAAATCACACTACCTGGGTTGATGAACATTTGTTTAATTGTATTAGTTCTATTATTTTCAATGAGCTCTGCATTGTTTGTTTGGGTTGTTTTGCTCCTTGACCCGAGTTGGTTGAATGAAGGAAAGAAATAGTAATGAAAAGACAGACATTTCCATCTTTAGAGACAGTACAAGGGAATGCAAAAGCGGAATTGAACTTTCAAACGGAATGTATTTCAAGCTGTTGGTTAAAGGGTGACTTTGTGATTACTTACTATGCTCTGGGTTATGATTAAGGCTGCTGCATACTAGAGGATAACTGGGCTGATCTCTGACCAAATAATCCAGAAGTGTGGGGGGTTTACAAAATAATCTTAATGCCACAGATGGAGTCAGAGCCACTGATTGAGTTGGAGCCTCCCTGTTCTCAAATCGTAAATTGATATTTACGATAATCTGCTCAGACAGAAACCCACAATAATGAGAGTGAGAGAGCAAACTGACTGGGAAGCATCACAAACCGCATGTTGCATTTTTGTACGACTAAAACCCTTTTTTTTATGTCCAACCAACCTTGTATACACCTTCTCATTAATAAATTACATTATTTATATATCTTTTTCTCCTCTGCCTTCTTTTTTTCACTGCAAAACAGAACAACAAAATCAGTCCTCCTCCTCCACCTATAAACTGCACGTGTGGCCAAAATCGTCCAGAGTGTGCAATCTTTATATTATTTACTATAATAATAAAAATATCTCAACACCTAGAAAAGTACCTCAGATAAGTGCTTGTGTATACACCACTGACCACTCCATAGTGTGCTGAAGAAGTCCTTCCATAAAAAATTATGTAGTGGACAGGCTTAGTTTCAACTCACGTTTCACATCAACTATCAATACTAATACTTTAAAGAAAGTGTTTAAGGCAACATTACACTTCTTTGTACAACTGCTTTTAAAATGCAGATCTGACCTTAAATGTTTCATCTGATCAAAATAAACCTGTCTCTGCAGTATAATCCAAGTTACGCTGTTGTACAGCCTGAATAACAAACTCCAGCTCAACAAATAACACACTGCAACATCTGGAGTGTTTTTAACATTCCTTCTGAAACAACACACAAATATGACATTAATGCTTAAGTTACACCATGAGTGTTACATTAACATTAAATGAGATAACTAATGTGGTGGAGCTTATTATCCAACCATACACACCAATAACTGTAGTGAGCAGAATATGCCCCTATCTTGTTTAAAACCACGCTAATTCATTAGCTGACTGATTAGCTGTTCAAGAGGCTATGCTAATAAGCCAAGTACAGAGTGCAGACACCAATGCATGCTAATCACTGCTAACAAATAAATAAAATAACACTGAAATTTTACTTACCGCAGGAACTGGAGTGCAGATTTCTGTCAGCCGTACAACAAACCACATTTTTCAGATGATATGTGCTTCTCCACAAGGTACTGACACAACAAACATTGGCTCTCTCAAGATAAATGTTAATGCCAGGTATGCCTGTGTGTGTGTGCGTGCATGCTTTTGTACAGCTATCTTTGTGAGGACCAGTTTGAGCCCACAACCCACAGAGTGAGGACATTTTGGCTGGTCCTCACTTTGTGACCCCCTTTATTGGACTGTTTGGAGGTTAAGACTGGGTTTTAGGGTTAGGGTTAGAATTAGGTTAGGTTAAGGTTTGGAGTTAGGGTTAGGCATTTAGTTTGGATGGTCAGGGTAAGAGGCTAGGGAATGTATACTAATGAGTGTCCTCACTAAGATAGAATGCGTTAACATGTGCGTGTGTGTGTGTGTGAGAGAGAGGGAGAGAGAAAGATGGAGTGAGTGAGTCTTTGGCTTCCTTTACCACAGTGAAAAGAGCTGCATTATCATTGCCTCCCACACATGTTCCTCACAATAGCAGTGTTAATATTAACACCTTATGTAATATTGGCTTTGAGCTTCATTTCCCTTCCAGATACATGAAAGCTGCAGTTTTATTTTTATGCTCTCTAAAAAGTAAACGTCAGAACAATAAGATGCACACAATGTTGCTATAAGGCTGTGAATTGTATGACCCCTGAAAAGCAGACAAGCATTGTGCACACAACAGAAAAGGCTTCTGTGGGTACACACTTCATGGCTAAGGTTTTGCATTATGCCAAAAAGAGAAATGTATCACATTTACCTTCTTTTGCCATTTCATTCATCTCAGGAGGTTAGGGGAAATCAAATAAACCAAGTATCAGTGCAACCAAGAAGCACTGGATCCAGACCACACTTGTTATTACAAGTATCTCCTATAAATATTTCCTTTAAAAATACATGGATCAATCAAACACATGGACTAAAAGACAAATGTTATCTGGTTTTCATTCTCACTGCTCCCCCTACCAACCAGATCTGTAAGGGCTGGGTACTTGAACTGGGAACCCAAAAGCACAGCTCAGAACACCGTGTCCGGTTTCCAAAAAAACAGTGGTTGTTTATTCAGATAAGGGTTCAGTACACGAAGGCAAAGAGACAAGGCAGAGGAATCCAAATCGTGAAACTAAGGCTTGGTCGCTAAACACAAGACGTGTCAAAAACACAAGACAAGACTAGACATGAATACAAGGCTGGAACTCTACGCACGAGACGAGACAAACTGGCCCAGGACAGGAGGAGACGCAGACCATATATACTAACTGAAGCGAGGGTTCGCTAGATGAAGGTGTAACACATTAGAGAAGGGAAGGTAATCAGTGAAACACGAGGGCAGGAGTGAAGTGACTGAAAAGAGCAGACAAGCATGAGTGTCAGAATAAAACAGGAAGTGACATATAATATGAAACAGGAAATACTGCATCTGTGTGTGTGTAGAACCATGACAAGATCAACACTCTCTCACTCACACTGACAATTCAGTAGTCAGTACAGTGTCCCAGTGAGCTCACATAATGCCACTTAAGAAACACATGCAAATTCACAAAACAAGTATATAAGTAAGAAGTATATATATATCTACTATATATTATAGTAGATATATAAGAAAATATCTGCAACAATACTGACAAGAACACAGTCACAAAATGGTTGAATCCAATTTAACTTAGATGAGCTAACAAAGCTTTTTTCCTCTGTCTTTATTTATTTCTGTCTTTACTGTTAGAAGAAGAAGAAGAAGAAGAAGAAGTTTTACTTTTATTGTCACGTTAACACATTACATGCATACATGAAATTGTTCTCTGCATTTAACCCATCCAGTTGGCACCTGTCGAAACACGCATAGAAACACACATTGACAGATGCCATGTACACACATATACTGGAGCGTGTTTTAAATACAATTTTATTTGTGTAGCCCATATTCACAAAGCACAGTGTGCATCGTTGGGCTTAGTTCTATGTTTTGAATTGGAAGCAGCATTTTACATTAACGCTAATGGAACGGACCATGTGTGTGTTTCAGACATGACCTCTGAAAGAACCTCAGAGAATTGGGTCCAAACTTTTTCTGGAGGGTCTCCGGAGTTCACGTCTGAAAGCAGCTATACTAATTGGATTACAGTAGGCAGGAGTAGGGATGGTGAATGGTGTAATAATACATACCTACAACAGCCATGGTTTGATTCCCAACTGGAAGACTTGGAAGAGATTTCCAACGTTTGGAATGCACCTCAACTGCCTCAGCCAGTGGTTGGCGGGACACTGGAAAGATTTAAATCCATGATCATTTGACAAAATAGCGCAAAAGAAAGAAACTCCCTGACTTAGCATGCAGCATTCAAATAGAATTATTTTACTGCATTGAGTCATGAGAGGATGAAAACAAAGCTGACAGCTGCCTTTCAATGACAATGGGAAGTCCATATCCTCTTAATAGCGGAGTGCATTTTATCTGGCTGTTAAAAAGTTTGGCTGTCTTATCAATTGATCTCTCTTTAACACACACACACACACACACACAAACACACACACACACAAACACAAATCAGTTTGGGGGGCCTGGCATTTGTCCTCAATTGGTAAATAGTAAATGGAATGCATCCATATAACAATTTTCTGGTCTTAACAACCACTCAAAACACTTTACAAATTACATTCACACACGCTTCATAGTGTTTATATTACACATCCCATTCAGCAAAGCAGTCATGGGGAATTCAATGTCTTGCCCTAGGATGCTTTGACATGTTGCCTGGAGGAGCTGGGAATCAAATCACCAACCATTGTCCACTGATTAGTGGACGAACCACTGTACCTTCTGAGCCCTGTGGATAAGACCATTGCCTATTCTTAAGACTTCTAATTTTCTGAAAAAGAAACCTATGACAGAAATTCACCTGCAATAAGAGCAATTGATTTGTGATCAGATAAGCTGCTTGCCTCCACTTGCTTCTTTTTAACTCACAATCATGCACGTGTTTATTGTTTAATTGTGTTGAGATATTTATATCCTCAACACACACATTGTTTTAATTCAACAGTACAGACTGAGCAAGGTTGATGCAAAAATAAATGGCTGCTTATTTGAATGTTTAGTAGAGTGAAACAATGGTCTTTCTACCCAACAATTCTGATCTGACTGATTGGATTCAGAAAGAAATTATAAAAGAGGGCCTCCTGTGGTTCTGCTGCAGTGAGAGATACTGAGCCAAAAGCTATTTTTGATACTTTGCAGTAGACACAGCTACACAAGCACTGTTGTTGGCAGAGCACACGGTTATAATACTGTAGGCGATGTCCATAATGTTGGATTATGTACAGCAAAACCACCTGGACCAACATACATTTGTGACTGACCGACATATATGAAAAAAATATATTCAATTATAACAATTTTTTTAACGACCATTTTAGCAATTGCATGTTATTGTTAGAAAATGATG